AAGGCTAGAACTTAAAGCAACCTGAGAGAGAAATGATGACACTCTAATTGGGACCATGTGGTAGGCAGATAATGACCCTCCCTCTCCCCAAACTTGTAAGTATGTTACCTTATTTGGCAGAAGAAACTTTGCAGAGGTGAATAAGGGCTAGTCCTTGAAAGTGAAAGCCTTTCCTGGCCCTGGTCTGAGAAAGAAATGTGACTCAGAAGCAGGTCAGAGAGATACTGCAGCGCTGGCTTTGAGCATGGATCAAGGGGAACACGAACAAAGGAATGAGTCTGTAGAAGCTGGAAAAGGCAAGGATAGGGAATGCGGCCCTGCTGGCACCTTTTATGATTTGACCTTTTGAGACTTGCATATATTTGTGTTGTTTTAAACCACCAAGTTGGTAATAAATTGCTATGTTAGCAATAGAAAACGAATCAATGATTCTCTCTCATCATTGATGTTTCTATCTCTCTCTCCCTCTCCCTTCCTCTCTGAAAATCAATAAAAACATATTAAAAACAAAACAAGTTAAGTCATGTTTTCAAGATCACATTCTAGTGCCAATGCTAGCTTCTGTACAAGGGCTGAAAGATACATGGCAGATACATATGACAGAAAATCTATAAGGTTTTTCTTTAGTTCAGCTTCTGACAGCTGGCTCATGCCACAGATGAAGAGCACTTTCTAGAACACAAGGGGAAACCTTCTAAATGGGAAGAGGCTTCAACTTGAGTTCAAGGTCCAATGACGATTCTAGATCTAGATACAAGGTTCACATGAACTAAAAGTCAGACTAAATATACAACCAGAATCAGAAAAGCTAAGACCTGGAGCAATGGTATCATAAACAAAGAAAACTGTGTACCCTGACGGGGTGGCTTAGTTGGTTGGAGTGTCATCCCGTACATCAGAAGGTGACAGGTTTGATTCCTGGTCAGGGCACATACCCCAGTTTTGGTTTCAATCCCTGGTCATGGCGCATGCGGGAGACAAAAGATCGATGTTTCTCTCTCACATCTATGTTTCTCTCTCTCTCTCTCTCTCTCTCTCTCTCAACCTCTCTTTCTCTCTCGGACCCCTCGAGGGATGTCCCCCTGCCTCCTTCCCTCTCTCTAAAAATCAATAAAAATTATAAATATATTTAAATATATTAACAATATTTAATTCAGCAATATTTTATAAAAGATTTTTGTTTCTGATCTACATTAATATAAATTAACATTTACTAAGTACTTACAAAATGCCAGTCACAATTCTAAAGACTCTTAAGTGTATTAAATCATGACAACTCTATAAGATAGGTACTCATTTTACATGAGGAAACTGAAGCACATAAAAGTTAAGTCATGCCCTGGCTGGTTTGGCTCAGTGAATCAAGCGTCGGCCTACAGACTGAAGGGTCCTGGGTTCGATTCCCAGTTAGGGCACATGCCCGGGTTGCAGGCTCGATCCCCAGTAGGGGACATGCAGGAGGCAGCCAATCAATGATTCTCTCTCATCATTGATGTTTCTATCTCTCTCTCTCTCTCTCTTCCCCTTCCTCTCTGAAAATCAATAAAAATATATTAAAAACAAAAAAAGTTAAGTCACTTTTTCAAGATCACACAATTAGTAAATGATGAAACTGGGAACATGGATAAACATAAGACTAATTGTTATGTACTATTTTTACCAGATTTGGAAATCAAGCTTATAATGAAATGTGAAGCTATCAATTTTAATATGTTCTGGAACAGTTTCTAGAGCACAGGAACTATGTTTTCTGAAACTTGAATAATCAAACCCATAATCTGATCTGGGTTTGAATTCTACTTGACATTAAAATTTAGACCTATTTTTCCTTTTGTGTTTGCCTCATATTTTTGTCTATTGTTTGCATGGACTCTGGTGACATGATTCACGTGCATTCAACTATTTTGGATAGGGCCTAACCACTTTACCTAGTTGCCTAGGGACCATAACTAATAGTCACAGGGTGGGGGCTGGCTATGCCAGAAAATTAGCCATGTGATTTGGGTTGGGGGACTCTGGGTCATTGGTATCAGTCAACTGGAGACGGAGTATACATGGCAATCAATCAATCATGCCTAGGTAATGAAATCCTAGAGCACATATCAGTCCCACACTTGAACCCTGGAAGATAACATGTCTTGACTTCCCAAAGACAGGAAAATAGAAGCTCCACAGTTAGAGCCCTCCAAGACTCTGTCCTGTGTATCACTTCCTTTAGCTTATTTTAATATGTACCCTGTCCCTTTAATACAACTTAACTGTAATTATAAAAACTTTCAGTGAGATCTATGAGTATAAGCCTTAAAAAACCTGAGAGTGCTTTGGGAAACCCCCCAAACTTTCAGTTGGTGTCCGAAGTGAGAGCAGTCTTGGAACTATGCCCTCAAACTTTGTAGTTTGGCTAATTTCAGGTATAGCTAAACTATCTAAAGGAACTAATAATTTATTCTCTTTTTAGGAAAAGAACTCTAACTGATCATTTGTGATATACATTTTCACTATTAAATTTCTTACATATGATTTTAGAAAAAGATAACTTATAAACAGATTGCTGAAATATAGCTAGAGACTCAGAGTATATTGGAACTGGCAGAGAAATGATTTGCTAACTGTCCTTAATGGTTTGTCAAATGTCCCTATCAAAGCATTCAGTGCATGCTGAATCTAGTTACATATGTGTCTCCTCTTCTAGATTCAGAGCATCTTGCTGGCAAGATCTTAAGTTGTTTACTCTGATGTTATCTAGCCTTCACTTAGGCCCTGACAGATAGTAGGTGCTCAATATTTATCTCAGTTAAATCAACATAATCTGACTCAATTGAACTCTACAAAACTCTGAATAATTTCAGGAAAGTCTCTTAGGTTAAAAAGATATTCTCCAGTACCTGTCAAAGAGTGAATATTCCACCCCTCACTTATTTTTTTCCCCTAATGTCTCCAACAGCCCACTGGCAGTAAGCAAAAATGTCTAGAAATAACACATAGTACTTTAAAAATAGATTAATTTAACATATCAGATTATTTTCTAATTTAGCAGCTCAAAAACTTTGAAATATGGTATGCACCAGGCATTTTAATGGAAAAAGACTTTAGAGAGCTAGATCTACAGCAGGGCAAAGTAAGAAATTTGATGATGGATAGATGGGTTTTGCAGGCTGTGGGAGGCTGAGAGACAGAAATGGAATAACATAAAAGCAGTGATTACCAAAATAGGAAAGGAATACTAAATGGACATAATGTGAGGAAATTTCAAGACAATTAGCAAATTTGACAATTTTAAGACACACTTTCAGAAAATTAAATATTTCATATAACTAATACAATCAACATTCCCAGTGTTTGGTTTCAGTAGTGCACAATTTACTCTATGTCCACATTATACAATCTCATTAAAAGGCCCAAGTTTAAAACTGAACTCTTAAATTTTTGCATGCCTGTTTTATCACTCTTTACTGTTCTTTATTTCTTCCTAGAATTTTTAAGATGTTCTACAGATTTTGTGATTTTTAAACTTTGATTTCAATGTAATTTATCACAGAAGAATGTTTTAAAATATATGAAAAAAGAGGAAATATTCAATCTCCATACTCAGTTTTAGAATAATTGTTATAAGAGGTCAGCTTTGATTATTTCTAAGTAATTTCTTTCAGTATTGAAAAAGAAAATGCCAGATAAGCAATTGGTTTTTGTCAAAATGTATCCTTTATAAAGGTTAAATGAACACTCATGTATACACAGGAAGTTAAACATAAAAACTGTTTAAGTTATTATTATAACACTAGAAGTCTGGTGTATGAAAATTCATGCACTCGGGGGGAGGGGGGGAAGGTTCCTCAGCCCAGCCTGTGCCCTCTCGCAGTCCAGGACCCCTCGAGGGATGTCCCCCTGCCAGCTTAGGCCCGCTCCCTGGGGAAACGGGCCTAAGTTAGCAGTCAGACATCCCTCTGGCAGCCCAGGAGTCCTTGAGGGATGTCTGACTGATGGCCTGTGGGGAGCGGGCCTAAGCCTTCAGTTGGACATCCTTAGCACTGCCGAGAGGCAGGTGAGGCTCCCACCACTGCCACTGTGCTCGCGGCCGTCAGCCTGGCTTGTGGCTAAGCAGAGCTCCACCTGTGGGAGCTCACTGTCCACCAGGGGGCAACTCCTGTATTGAGCATATTCCCCCTGGTGGTCAGTACACATCATAGCAACTGGTCGTTCCAGGTCGTTCAGCCATTAGGGTCAATTTGCATATTAACCTTTTATTATATAGGATTACTAACAAGTCAAAAGTTATATCTTAAGTTGCTTTAGGAAGGAAAAATAAAACTATAAAAAGTATACATATTTATTTCAAGTATCAAGGTCTTATTTGATAATGAATCTGTTCCGGACCTAGGTCTGAAATTTGTATGTAACTTTTAAAAAGTCTATCCTTAACTGACCATTATCTTTCATCTCTATTTCAGAAAATTCTACCTTTAATTTCTAGTATTTTTCACCCATAAGTAATCCTGGATATTAGCAATAAAGGATGAGCAAAAATATGTACTATTTGATATATGACTTTAAGATTCTAAAATACCATTGCAGGATGAGAAAGACTAAACTCCAAATCATCTACCTAAGGTTTAACACAGACTTTTAGGATAAAATCATTTCAGACTGATTAAACTTAATATCCTTTGGGTTCCTATGTAGTATGAACATAATAACTTAAAAAAAGAAACTATGATAGTCTAAAGTAAAACATAATACTCTATAGAATAATAGTATAAATACTCATCAAAGGATAATAGACACTAAAGAAGCTGGTAAAGAGTAATAATATTATAAAAAAGGGAAAATGAAAAGAGAAAATAATTTTCTTATAAAAGTTGGGGGACAGGTTTGAGGAGAGGAGAACCAGCTAGAAAATAATTAATTGTATGAGGTTCTTGGCATAAGCTCAAAATAAAGGAATTGTTGTTTTGTTTTGTTTTTGAAGGTTAACAGCTTTCTTAGAGACTTAAATTGTTTACCTCATTTTCTGTTCCCACGTCCAGAGTGATGGGCAGACATTCACGAGGATTCATCCCTCCACAAGCTGTATACAGAGCCAATTTACCCACAGGGATGCCCATTCCATTACTACCAAGGTCTCCCAAGCCAAGAATACGCTCTCCATCGGTCACCACAATAGCCTAGAAGAAAAAGAAAAAAATATCTATTAATAGGTAGATGGTCACAAATCCTGGGCTGCAGTTCCTGGTCTCCATTCCTGAAGTTAATCCTTACATAATAAAATACTAAACTGTCAAAATACATAAACTGAATATACATGAAAAAAATGTTATGTGATTGTACATGTGGAAGAATAAATAAATTTGATATATACATGAGAGTAAATAAATTTGATATATGCACTTTATATTTTGTTAAAAATAAATGTAAGTGCTTAATATGGTTGTTGAAAAAAGAAGAGAGGACTATGCACATAAAGACTTAAACAATCCAGCCCTGACCAGGAGGCTCAGTGGGTTGGAGCATCATCCCATACACCAAAAGGTGGAGGGTTCGATTCTGATCAGGGCATATACCTAGTTTGTGGGTTTAATCCAAGATTGGAGTGCTTACAGGAGGCAACAGACTGAAATCTCTCTCTTTTTTTTCCCTTTCTCTCTTCCTCTATCTAAACCTATCCTCTCATGAGGATTAAATAAAACACAAAGATTTAATCAAGAGGGACAGTTTGAAGAGTATCCTATATAATAAAGACGTAATATACAAAATGGCCGCCACAAGATGACTGGCAGGGGAGGGCAGTTGTGGGTGAGCAGGCCAGCAGGGGAGGGCAGTTGGGGGCAACCAGGCCTGCAGGAGAGGGAGGGCAGTTGGGGGGATCAGGCCCGCAGGGGAGGGCAGTTAGGGGCGACCAGGCCTGCAGGGGAGGGCAGTTAGGGGCAACCGGGCCAGCAGGGAGGGCAGTTAGGGGCAACCAGGCCTGCAGGGCAGTTAAGGGGGGGCCAGGCCTGCAGGGGAGGGCAGTTAGGAGCGACCAGGCCAGCAGGGAGGGCAGTTAGGGGCAACCAGGCCTGCAGGGCAGTTAAGGGGGGGCCAGGCCTGCAGGGGAGGGCAGTTAGGGGCAACCGGGCCAGCAGGGAGGGCAGTTAGGGGCAACCAGGCCTGCAGGGCAGTTAAGGGGGGGCCAGGCCTGCAGGGGAGGGCAGTTAGGAGCGACCAGGCCTGCAGGGGAGGGCAGTTGGGGGTGACCAGGCCTGCAGGGGAGGGCAGTTAGGGGGGGGACCAGGCCCGGAGGGGAGGGCAGTTGGAGGGGACCAGGCCTGTAGGGGAGGGCAGTTAGGGGCAACCAGGCCTGCAGGGGAGGGCAGCTGGGGGCAATCGGGCTGGCAGGGGAGTGGTTAGGGGGTGATCAGGCTGGCAGGCAGAAGTGGTTAGGGGCAATCAGGCAGGCAGGCAGGTGGGCGGTTGGGAGCCAGCAGTCCCGGATGATGAGAGGGATGTCCGAGAGGTTTAGGCCTAAACCGGCAGTCGGACACCCCCTGAGAGGTCCCAGATTGGAGAGGGTGCAGGCTGGGCTGAGGGGTAACCACCCCAGTGCACAAATTTCATGCACCGGGCCTCTAGTAGGGAAATAAAAACTCAAACTGGGAACTGAAAGGAAACAGAGAAGTTTTAAAACTAGTCGCATCCACTTGGAGGACAATTAGTTATATACAGTGGGGCCGTGACTTACGAGTGTCCCGACTAACGAGTTTTTTGAGATACCAGCTGTCTCTCGGCCAATTTTTTGCATTGAGTTGATAGAGTAATTTGAGTTAACGATCTCCTTAACAAGCTCCTTAACAAGCTCAGTCTTGGAACGAATTAAACTCATAAGTCAAGGCCCCACTGTAATGCTAAATAGCTGAGAAGCCTCCAAATATCCAGATCTTTGGTTTATGCGTCCTGGCATAAACTGTTCCATCCTTCTCTGAATGATAGTATCCTCTGAATAAATGAATATGGCACTTATAATTTATACCAGTTTACTTAGATATTGTCTAATAACTGATTGCCTTTGTTTCATGTGTGCTTTCAACTACACAGTAGAGACTACATCTTAATTTTCACTACTGTATTACAATAAAGAGCTGTCATTTATTAAGTGTCTGCTATGTGCAGACACTATGCTAGGCTTTTTAAATAACAGTATTTATAATTAAGATCAGGAATATTAGTGAGTGCAGGAAGCCACCGCTTGCCGATACTGTCATGAGAGGGCACCAAGGAACACAGAAGGCCGATGGACCTTGGGCGTTAGCAGGGCTGACGCTAAGCACCGATTGATCAATCGTGTTGAGATAGTGGTGGCTCAAGGCAATTCCCTAACCTGATAATCCTTTTACTGTTTACCAAACTTTACCTTTGATATGCCTGTATGCATTGCAAAAGGGCAAATGTGTATTCAAGTAAATAAATAGCGGACCAGGCCAGAAGTCGGTATGCCTCTTCAAGAAAGAGGTCTCCACCTGGCCCCCAATGCCTTCTAAATTCATATTTCTTGTATAGTATTTTCATTTGTGCATTGGCCCCTCCTTCAGATCCTGAACCCCACTGCGAAGGTCGCGGCAGGTGAGGACGCAATACTAAGAGTTGGAAGGATATAGGTGGGCTATTAATGACGTTGATCAACTAGTGGGAAGAACCTAAAGCAAGGGGATGGCTTACTGCCCAGCCCTTAGGATTACAGGGATATTCATTAGACCTGTCTACCTCAGAACCATTTCTTATGTTGACTCATTCTTAATATCCTCTCCTGATTGAATATAAGTATTCTTGTTGGGCTGAAGTGGGGTCTCAGTTGGTTGAGTATCATCCATGCACTGAAAGATTGCTGTTGATTCCTGGTCAGGGCACATACCTGGGTTGCAGTTCAATCCCTAGTTGGGGCCTGTACCATCAAACACTCTCTCTCTCTCTCTCTCTCCTCATGTCCTGGGGTGAGGATTAAAATAAATAAATGTTAAAATAAGTAAATGTAAGTATCCTTCTTCTTAGAGGATCAGACATTTATACTTTATCGAATTAGCACATTTTTAGGGTAGTTCCTAAGGACTGGACCTGTGGACAGTGCAGACTACTTGGTGGGAGAAAAATTGAGGGAGCAACTTAGTGGAAGAAAGAGAAAAAACTGGGAAGACTGGAAACAGTAAGAAACATTTTGCTTTACAAGTTTGCCCAGCATGAGCCTTAAAGAACAGAGTGAACCACTTCTAGCCACAACTGCTCAAACAGAAAAGACCGTTAAGGGAGTAACACTTCAGAAGTCACAGCTGAAGAGCCTCTGTACCACAGACGTCAGTGTATTCAGTCTTAATCCTGAAAGTTACCACAGAGTTGCTGAGCACCTAACAGAAAGGAAAGGGGGGCCAAGGAGGGATAAGAACATCTCACTCTCTTTAGACAAGGCAGGTGGTCAAGCACATGTCTAAGAGCAAAGGCTCTGGGACCTGCATTCAATTCCCACACCACCATGCACTGCTGTGTAACCCTCTGATAAGCTGTGCCTTCCTTTCCTCCACAAATTATCAGGATAAATACAAGAGTGAGTCCAAGTACAGTGTCTCAAAGAGAAACCTATGAAATGTCAGATTATATTGTTACTTTATTTTGATGAGTTCACTCACAGAAGGAAGTCTGATGAGCTTCCTAATTTCCAAATGATAAAGAAAATTAACTGATTTTTTGCCTACCTGGGTTCCCCTTATTGAATGCTTAATATGAAAACAGAATTTGCTTAAACATATCCAGACACCATTTCAACGTTTATTCAACATTTATCATCGCTTTCAATGAATAAAGAAATTCTAAGAAATTAGATTGAAATAATGAGGAAACAGCATCCAAACGATATACAAAAATCAAAGGGATATAAATTAGGTGACATTTACTAGTACTAGGAAAGCTAGTGAATGCTACTGAAGGTCATGATAACTATCAATATGTTTTAGGAGAGAGAAAATAACAAATTTTTCATAGTGGGAAACTTTGATAACTTACCTTGATGACATCTTCTGGCCATGCATCAAGAATTGAAGCAATATGCCCTCGATCATGGATACTAATAAAAAGACCTCTGACAGAAAAAAAAGTAGTAGTTTTAATTTACTTCAGACTTATCAAACTATCATGAACATTTAAAAATTTTTTCAAATCAGTTTAATGTTTCTCCATTTTTATCAAACTAGTGAAAATTATTTCCTTAAACAAATAAGACATATAAATCTTATAAGAAAGAAACAAAGTATTTAAACAATATATTGACACCTGCAATAAAGGTATATTCATTCATTCATTACATATTCTTAAATATTTTTTTAATTAATGAAACATTCATTATTTTGTCTACAGAGAATTTAAATAGCATTATCAATTCCACTCCTAGATTCATTTACAGTCTTTCACTAAATAATATGTATAAAAGCCTTTAGAGAACAACATGAAGCATATGCAAACAGGCATTTTCAGTGTATGTCCCATTTATTAAATCCTAGAGGCCTGGTGCATGAATTCGTGCATGGGTGAAGTCTGGCCAGCCCACCCCGATGGGGGCCGATTGGGCAGGAGCCGGCCAGGGGGAGGTGCCTCTGGTGGTTGGTTGGCCGGCACTGCCCCCGATCAAGTGTGGGAGGGGAGCAATCAGGGGTGGGGTCAGCCAGGGAGAGGGCCAATTGGGGGTGGAGCTGGCCGGGGGAGGGGCCATGGGAGGTTAGGGGGGCCGATTGGCCACCACAGTGCATGTCATAGCGATAGGTCGTTCCGGTCGTTCCATTGTTCAGGTAGCTTGGCTTTTATGTATATAGATTCACAGTGTGGAAAGGAGAACATGCATTGGCAATGGCTGAAGTGACTGATACTGCTGAGTAGTCCTTTCATGTGGCACTTACTTGATTTGTGGCTTTAGTTGTTGTTTGCAATGCTGTTATTTAGAGCCTCAGCTGAAGCCTTTTACATTTCTCACCCTTATACCCCCCAGTTCCTATGAAAGTCTAACAAGTCACTGTAAAAATTCAGATAGAAATTTTTTAAATTTCTTAATCTCACTTATAAGTTTTACTTTAGTCTTGTTAAACATAGCTACAGAGAACTACATACAACAAATGTACAGCTTAATGAAGTGTTATCAGGCAACCACCCCTCTACAGAATATCCACTAAAGCAGAGAAAATCCTGTCAGCTACCCAGAGCCCTCTACATGTTTTCTCCCAATCAATACTCCTCCCTGCTAAGAATAACCACTCTCCTGACTTTTATGGTATCATTTCCTCAGTTTATAGTTTCATCATCCAAATAGCAAACCATCCCTATGGATTACTGTTTAATTTGTCTGGTCAAGTTCCCCCAAATCTGAATTTCGCTGATTGCATCCCTATAGTACAGATTAACACGTTACTCTTCACTCTGTACTTCTTGGAAAATTGGTACTAGTAATTGAATTTGAAGGCTTAAATGGATTCTTCAAATTTTTTTACAAGACACTTGTTTGGTATTATCAGAAGATAGATAACATCTTGTAGTCCTTTTTGTGATTTTAGCAGTTGCTGATGCATGATATCTAAATTCATTAATTCAAAATGGTGATATTCCAATCCTATCAACCATTATTTATTAGCTGGAACACTTCTTTTTAAATTAAATTTATTGGGTGACATTGGTTAATAAAATTATATAGGTTTCAAGTGTGCAATTCTATGATACATATAGGTTGCAAGTGTATATTTTGCATTGTGTGCTCATGGAGGGTAGAGGGCGTCAAATATTCGGTGACAGAATAAGATTTTACTTTTGGTGGAACACTTCTTCAAAGAGAATTTTCACCATACCTATTGTTTAGTTACCCTATGGTAAAGTTTATATTTAAAAAAGGGATAAATGCTTGAGTCTTTCTCTTTACTTATCAGGTTTTTTTGTTTTGTTTGTTTTTTGTTTTGTTTTGTTTTGTTTTGTTTTGTTTTAATCCTCCCCTGGGGATATTTTTTCCCATTGATTTTTTTTTTTAGAGAGAGAATGGAGGGGAGGCAGAAGCGGGGGAGTGAGAGAAACATCGATGTGAGAGAGACACATCGATTGTTGCCTCCCATTGGCATCCTAACTGGGCCGAGATTGAGCCTGCAACCCAGGTATGCACCCTTGACCAGGAATCAACCTCCGACCCTCCGAACTGCTGAGAAAACTAGTTAAGGCTACTTATCAGTTTGTTTGTTTTTTAAAAGAATGCATTTGTTAGAATCCTTCAAGAGTTTCCCCTAAGGTGTGTGTGTGAGTGTGTGTGTGTGTTGGATCAATATGAACTCAGGAATTTAAACATATTTTGTCTTAATCCATTACAGTTATTATCTTTATTGAAACCCAAATTGTGCCATTTTTAACCAGTGGAAAGCTCTTCGCATTGGCCCCTGAGCCTTTCTGATAGCTTCCTTAATCTCTGCTATGAAGATATTCCATTTTGTCTTAAAAATGTTTGCCCCAGGCCAAAACGAGCCATTAAGAAGCCCAGCTTTCTTTTAGTAGAAAGTGGTATTTCAAGAGCAAAATCTAGGTACTAGGGATCCCTACCACTAGTAGCTGATCCAGGTATTGCTATTTTAAAAATTTACAAAACAAAGTTAAAATTCACTTCCTGGTTATGGCTAGAAATCTCAAATGGGCACTCTTCTCTTGAAAAGTTTACCACTGATTTCCTAGCAAATTCAACCTACTGCTCTCTGGGAGAACCATTTCACACCTCCTTTCTCCTCACCTCTCCTCACCTCTCAGGGGACAAGCAAATCTTAAATTTCAAACAGAAATAGATGCAGTAGGGTAAAAACTACCTCATTTTTCTAATGTAAATTCCATTAACCATCTTCATCTTTTTAAAAAATACACTTTATTTTTTAGAGCAGTTTTAGGTTCACAGCAAAACAGAAGACAATACAAAGATTTCCTATATACTCCTTGCCCCCACACATGTATACTCTCTTCTAGCCAACATTCTCCACCAGAGTGGTGTATTTGTTACAACCAATGAACCTACGGCTGACACATCATTATCACCCAGAGTACATAGTTCACATTAATGTTCATTCTTTGAGTTGTACATTCTATGGGTTTAGAAAAATTTACAAAGACATCCTATATAATAAAAGGCTAATATGCAAATAGACTGAATGGCAAAACAATTGAACAACTGGTCACTATGATGTGCGCTAACCCCCAGGGGGCATGCACGGAACATGGCGGGGATTGGCCGCAGCGGGATGGTGGAGCAGGTGAGCAGGGGTGCCAGACCAAGGCGGGGTGCCGGTCGCTGTCATCGGGGTGAGCCTCTGGTGGTTACTGAAAATTCTTTGCTCCCAAGCACTGCAGTCCTGCCCGGTGCTCACACCTGCTGCCAGTGCCAGCCCAGCTCACACCCGCAGCTGACGCTGGAGCCAGCCCCGCTCACACCTGCTGCCAGTGCCCGGCGCCGGTTCAGATTCCTTGGCACCATCAGTGGGTGCAAGCAGTGGCTCTAGGCCCTGATCATCCCTGAGGGCCTCTCCACCTCCCACTGCTCCTGAGGGGCCGGCCCCACTCACACCCACTGCTGGTGCTGGCCCCAATCGCTCCGCACCGTCAGCAGGTGCGAGCGGGGCCGGTGCTGTCAGCGCATGGGAGTGGTGATGGTGGGAGCGGGGCTGCAGGCAGAGAGGAGACTGGGGCTGCAGTGGGAGGGGTCAGGTTGGGGTGAAGAGATGGGCCAAGACCCACCCCTGTGCCCACCGCAGCCTCGCAACCCACAGTTCCTTTCAAGGTACACGAATTCATGCACTGGACCCCTAGTATTGCTATAAACATTCCCGTGCATATTTGTGTGTGTAAGTCTTGAACTCATTTGGGTAAATATAGCAGGACCTCTAATAACATTGTTTAATTCAACATTGATGAGGGAAAAAAATCCATTCCCAGCCAGGGCCACTGTATATGTAGAGTTTGCATGTTCTACCCCTACTGCTGCCCCCCTTCCATTCCACACACATATACACACAAAGCAGAAAACTACTGAAGTAAAGAGACTCTCTGTTTTGCTCACATTTTTACCCCTAATTCCTATAAGTACGCTGGCACATAGTATGTGTCCAACAATGTGCTCTGACTTCAGTGTTGAAAAATAAGGCTTCTACAATCTATTTTTTTTAAGTACAGAAAATATGAAATAAAGCCAGACTTAGTATGACTTATTAAGTAACCAAAAATTATATGATAATAGTAAGTGCTACAGGCAGATTACTGATGACTATCTGACTCAACAAAAATATTAATTTACCAAGTTGGCAATAAACTATATCCTTTCCTGTTTTTTTCACTGTTCCATGTGAATTTATTTTGTTTCCCAAAATAATTATAAGCTCCTTATAAGTTATACATATTTCTTTTGGATCCCTGTTATATCCAACTCTGCAATCAAAAGATCTCAATAAATAATTGCAAAATTAGAAGGAAATGTACTTGGGCTTATAAAATAAGGCATTTTTGTTGAATTATCTAAGATGTTCTTGGCAGTATAACATTAAATAATATTCTTGGGAACCTGCTAGTTAGCCAAGGTTTTCTAAGTAACACTGGTCTGAGAAAACAGTATCATTTTTTAAAACAAGAGGGGTACAGAATGATACTAAATTTTACATCAATTAAATGCCATTATGTAAAGATACGAGTACAACTTCAGTGAGAAAGCAATTTGACCACCTGTAATTTCTTGCTCTGGCTAGAGATTCATTTGTGGTAAAAATGCTTACTCTCAGAGAGATCTCGATAAATTAAGGATCTGCAATATCCCACCAAAGTCAAGCATTTTGAGGGAATAATTTTCAAAACTTCTGGAATGCTACTTTGATCAGAAACCTACTGAGATATCCAAAAACATTTCAGCACAGTGAAGACTCATACTCATATAGCTGAATATGAAATATTAATTCTCAATATATACATATAGATATAGTTAAAAATGAAATGTTTAGACAAGAAAGTTATTTATCAATGATATTTTAATATTTAATTTTAAAATGTGGCCATGTGTTTATTATTTTAATCAGTAGGTTTTAATCTGTAGCA